GTTTTCAGCGTCTAGTCTGACATGCGCATTGAAATCGCCCATGAGTATGAGGAACACTGTATTCTTCACTTCGTACATTCTACTTCGTCAAGGAAAGGCTAATATCCTCCCTCAAAACAGACCGCATAGGGCTGTTACAAGGTGAATGCTTTAGCCCGAGTCGGTGGATTGTCCCTCTTCCACTGAAAGGCCTTTCATTAGATGATACTGTAACCAGGTTTGGTTCTATCAGAGCAGCGACATCTGAGTAGGGTAGCATCCACTCGGAAAAGTTCAGTATTGCAGAGCGTCAGCGTTTTGTTGACGAGCGTCCAACTTTGTCGAGTTAGTACCTTATGGCCTCATCAGCGAACTCTTGTTCTTTCCCTCCGAGTGATGATATATTCCAATTTCCGACCTTTAGCTCCCACTGGTAATGTCGTTCTCGTGTATCCTTTTCTGACGTGCTATAATGGCATCACGCTGTCTGCCTCATCCGTTGAGAACCGGTAGCGACTCGGTTGCTGACCTGCATCTTTGTCGTCGTTCTGTTGGTCCTCTTGAACTGGCTGGCAGAGGGCGATGAGTGGTTCTGATCGCCGACTTTTCGCAGTCTACCTCAGTTTGCCAACAGCCTGCGCGGTGCTATGTAACCGGGGCGACGACCGAACATTTACAATGTTCGATGACGTCAATACCATGAACGCAAGTAGCTACGTTTTACTAAGACTTCGCCACGCTCTCCATCCCACCTCCTTTCTCGTCCGATCTTCGGGCTGGCAGCGGCAGGGTTGGGGAGAACATGCGATGCCACTCGACCCTCTTTGGTTTAAAATAACCTAGCGTTGAAATATGGATTCCTACGTGGGAGTATGTTTAGTTGTGCGTAGACAATCTAAATGTGGTCTGAAATTGGTTTCCATGTTGTGCTGTTAGCCTAACTCCTCCAGGTTAGATTTATAATGGTGCCTATCGTTCCTTGGCTGTTAAATGCCTACAGGATTTTGGCCTGCTTAAAAATTACTTCATTAGGCAGCTAGAAACAAGAGGACAATGGTATACGCCATGAAAGCAGGTTTTGGATGAGCCGCGCATTACTTTGCATCGCTGTATGTTTAGGGATATATGTACCATGTACTATTTTTCTTCATATGAGCCGTAAAATAGTGGAGAATTTTGCTAGTGCAAATGATCAGCTGAATGAAGCATTGGTCTGCTGAAACTGATTCTTAGGAATCAAGCTGCAAGAGACTGTCTGTGCGCTATAGAATCTGGCATTATTAGCCCTTTTTCTGCAGTCATGCATTCAGCGTCTTCCTTTTTTTTGCTTGAGTCATTTTTAGAAGTCTGCTACAATTTTTTGTGCAGTCACATTTCAGACTAGCGCACATTCTGTTTCTCAAAGTTTTATTTTTATGCTCGTTGTTTTTTATTACAGACCTCTGAATATGAGTTGAGAGTTCTCATGCTGTTCCTATGCAGGTTCATGCTAGTCGTGGTTGTTAACAACGCGGTAGCAATAAATATAAGTTAATTTATTAAAAATATCACACAATGGTTCTCAGCAGATTCCTCCATCTGTACAATCGAGATTTAATTAAGGAATTATCGAGAACGCTTATGACATTGATTTGAATCATGTTGCTGTGATTGACATCAGATTCCATCCTGTGCTGTAACTGCTTTATCCCACAGTCAGATATGAAATATGTCTTAGCCATGAGTGCAATTTCAAATGAAATCTCCGCAAATGCCGGCCAATACAGTGTGAACCTTCTAACAGTCTCCCTTAATCAAAGCGTAAAAACTTTGAGGTAAAATCGTGGCATCCTATTCTTCAGATAATATCTGAAGCGACCTCATTTTTGATTACGTTTCTAACTTGTTATTCGAGACGATTAACCACTACTTTCTCGAATCTTAATGGACCGCAGCTTAATCAGTTCGATTTAATTTGGTGCTGCTTCGCAGGATGTGCCCATCCCACTCTCGTGCGCACAAAAACCAAATTGTCACCTGAATCAACGATTAAGAGGATGAATGAAATTCCAAATTATGAGCCGACTTTTAACGTCCAGCAGTAATTACATCGTAAATGTATGGAATATCTATATATGCTTGGTGGATGCCTTGATGATTGATAATGTGGCCGCTGCTTGAAGCGTCAGTTTCTAGTAAATGGCCGTTTGCCTTGAATTTATTCCTTCCTTTCTGAAGCTCTTACGTGCGCTTTATTTCGATTCGCAAACGATCGAGATGCAGGCTGTTTTCAAATGTACAGTTACACATACGGAGCTGAATTTACACTGCCTGGACAAAAGCATATAAACATAGCCAATCAGATCCTAGGTTCATATGGTTCCTTCTTGGTCATGCGCATCAGTGGGCCAATCAATTTCCTGAGGTGATTCCTGAATGCTAATCTACTGAGTAGCAAGGAATTAAACTTAAAAACTGCTGGTCGAGAACAAGCCGCGCGCTCTAATTCGACCAGTAATATGCCTCTTTTTCTTCTCTGCTCCTTGACTCACCATTTTCGTGCTTTGCAGCTTGTATTCTAGTTTACCTCCGCCCTCCGCTGCCAAAACGAAATGAGTGATGATTGTGGTAGCAATTAAGACTCGTTAATTTCAACCGAGTGAGATGTAACAACACCGTACTTGACCGAACCTACTGTGGTTCGCTAGTTTAGATAGTTGGGGATCTTGCTTCGGAACCGTACCGTTACCAGACCATGTCATATTCCATGACCGGTGCTCAAACATTTTGGCAGTGAAACGAAAATGGATATCTAAATATAATAAAGCCTTATGTACGTCAATTTACAGCAGGAGCTTAGATCTCTTGTAGATATCATTTGCAAAACACGCCAGCTACTGATCGAAATCGAAAGACTCTTTTGAATCTTCCGGCTATGATGCCGATACGAATTTCGTAGCAATGGAAGAGATCAAGTGTTGGGTTGCTAGTCAGTCAGTTTTGATGACAGCTCATCCTTCCGCGTAGCATAGGCAAATTCGTCAGAGAGTGTCTCCAACGTTTCCTATTCTGAGCAAGTGTCGGCACTTTAGTAGAAATTAACAGAGTTCGTCGAGCCTTTGCCTCAGTCACTTTTGGCCGTCCTCAGGGTATTCGACCAGTGGGTTGAGGAGATGGCAGTCATTTCACATTTCCTTCTGGAAGCATTCAGAAGACATGCACAAACCATAACCGCTGTGACTTTTCATCTGAAGAAACATCCGGCGTCTACCAGGGTTTTCTATAGCATCTGAATTCCGGACTCTGTCGAGAGTTCAACGATTCGTCTCAGAAGGTCTTCTACCAACAGCATGTCAGGTTTTTAATTTATTTAATTTTGTAATTTTCAGTTGTCTGATGATATGATAAGCATTAGGTGACGTCACATTGCTGCCATTAAAGGTTCGCAGGATACGTGGTGTTTGTCAGGACCGGCCAAACAACTAACTAAAGGAGTCATGCCTTACGTATTGTCGTCAAATCTGAGTGGCCCACTGAGTAACCAATCAGACTTACTGTCAAACCTCTCATTGTTCATCTGTCCAGCGCTGAAAAAGGTTTGCTACGACAGCGTGGAAAGAATGCGGAAGACCTTACACATAGTAGCGAACCTTTAGCATATATTGCGTTCATGGAATGACGTGCGAGTTGCTGACATAATCGAAATGGAAACCGCGCCAAAGGAAGGAAGGATTTACCAATCGAGAACATCCCTGATGACAACGGAGGGGAATATCCCAGCGTTTAAAAAATTTTAATGATCTATTTCCTAATCATTGCAAATACCATTATTGAGATTAAAGTGGCCATCCATATGGGCCGAGAATATTTGACATATCTACCTTTGTCGAACAAATTGGTTGAACTGAATCATAAGTCGTAACTACGTCATTACTTATGAGCACAAGCCAATTGGACCATTTCCCGTATG